CAGTATTCACTATATCCATACATATAAATTCTTCTTCATGAAAACTTATTGCTTCAATGAGGCCAGGAGAAAGATGACAAGCACCTCTACCATGGTGGTGGAGACAGCTTTCACCACCAACTTAAAAATACCTATAAGCTGACCCAAGTCAATCCAAGAGAGGTCCCTGTCATACTCTGTAGGCACATTCCTAGGGATAATCTAAAATCAGTTTGGACAAAAATAACTAGGAAAAAAATTATGAAAAGTGGCTACTTTTTCTGAGGGACAGAAATCTCTCAGAGAAATAGTTAAAACAAGGCTATTACCTTGATTTTTTCCTCATAAATCTGCTCTTTTAGTCATGATCATATTCCACTAATTGAAACCCTGGATTGGATGGGTCCTCAAGGTATCTTCCCAAAAGAAATCTGTTATAAGCTGGGATCATTAAGAATCTGAGTTAATTTTAGCCCACTTGTGTAACCCATGAGGATTTTTTAATTAAGAGAATGAATTTAATATCTGGCTTACAGTTTACCATAAGTCTCCATGAAGACCCTCAATAGCTCTATTAATCCACTCTTTTCAATATTCTTAAATTAATCCCTTAACTGGGAAGTTTTTCACTAAATGCATTTTAACCTATTAGAGGTCAGACATTAAAAGGTGTCTAACCCAGTTAATGGATGAAGCTTCTCTTTACAGACAGGCTTACAAAAACATAAATGTATTCCCAATTAAAAAGTCCCTTACCCTTTCAAGCAGGAAGACAAGAAATAGGCCTGTGAATCTGAATGGAATTAAAGATTGGAGAACACTGTAATCTTAACAATCCCCCAATATGTACAAGGATGCTGCAGGAAGCATTCTTGTCAAGTTTTGTTGGAAGAGCAAACTAATCTTTCTTCACTCACAAATGATATCTACAAGGGGAGGTCCAAAAGTTCCTGTTCTGACTATGATAGAAACATCAGAGAGATAAGTTCTTGTCATCTCTTTGTAGGCCTACTCTTAGTATATAAGAAGCCACAACTTCAGATTTTTCCTGTTAGTTGTTGTTTATCTCTAGTCTGCTAAACACGGTTATTCTTGCTATGGACAAATTAGAGTTCAGGGCAGTGATAAAGTTTTTGACCAAAGAGAGTCGGACACCTTCCGAGATTCATCAACGGTTGGTTGGCGTGTACGGGGAGAATGCCCCCTCTCAGACCACAGTGAATAATTGGTCAAAACTTTTTTTTGGGGCTACCTGAAGGATCGGGTGTATGTCAATAAGCCCGGGACCATCCAGCAGCTTAAGGACAACATTCGGGAAGAAATTCAAGCGCTGGAGCCAGACATGTTAAGAGCCGTCTTGGAAAATGCCGTAGAAAGAGCCCGTGCTTGCAAAGCGGAAAATGGGAGTCATTTACGTGACATCATTTTTCATACATAGTTTAAAAACATTTTAATTTTCTGTACTTTATATTATTAAAAAATAAATACAAAAAATTTATTCGATTTTTAAATGGTAATGCGACTTATGGGCCACCCTGTATAATGCAGGCTGCCGGGAGGGAAGAGTTGGATGGCATGAGAGGACGAAAAAAAGACGGGACGGCCGGGAATCGAACCCGGGCCTCCTGATCGCCGGTCAGGTGTGCTACCTCTGCTCCACCGAATCCTCTCGATGCCATCCCAGACACTACAGTACCCCGGAAAAGTACCCCGGGAGTGAAAATTTTGGAACGAAACATAGCCCTCGACCTTCCCCTGGATGAAAGAGGACGCCATGCAAAGTTTGGTTGCTCTGGCTCCTGGTGGGTCCGAATGCATAAAGGAACAGACATACAAACTTTCTTCTTTATATGTATAGATAGATAGATGAAAAGCACTGGCGCAATTTTAAACTTGTGTTAATCGGCTTTTTTTTTTTAGCCACCCGGTATATTGGAATTCTTGCACTGGCTGTCGTATGCGGACTACCATGAGTAGATTAAGGAGCGAAGCTTTCTAAAATTAAAGGATTTCGTACGGGTTCTCCCGTAGAAGATGCACACGTTTGTATGCTGTATGATGGGCCCATTGAAAGGCGTGGAGAGATTATTACCATTTTCCGGTACATCTTGGCGCATTTATGCTCATTAGAGAATAATGTGGCATGGATACGTTAGGCCTACCGGCAAGCGAACAGTGACGCGTGTGCAAGGGACCAATGGTTTTTTTTTCTTCCCCCGCTAAACAGTGGTCTTTTTCTTCGGGGTGTTACGGTTGAGAGGAAGAGCGTCCTTGGATGCAGCCATCTCCTCGCGGGGTGACGTCACTTGAGCTAAACACTCATGAAAAGAGGTGTGTGAGTGACCGGCCTTCAGGGAATTTAACGGGCTGCGATGAGTAGAGACTGCGGGGAAAGTCATAGGGAGAGGGAACGCGTGTAGGGTAAAAACCATTCAAGTTCGGACAGTACCGTAGTTCGTAAACTTTAACGTACATCAGTACAAAACCAAGCATTGGTGAGCTCTCCCTCAGAAGCAGTTCTCAGCTTGGAAGAGCTGTTTCTAGGGGTGACCTCGCAAATGCTTTGTTTTATGATAATTTATATTATGGTGTTCAACTTAAGTACTATGCGAACATGATGGTTTTACCCTATTCCCTGACAGCAGCTAGGGATGAATGAGTTTGTATCCCCGGGGAATCCATAAGCAGAGGTAGCATGAAGGAGTTAAGCATATCACTTCGGCGAGATAACGAGACGATGGTGAGAGGTAGAGAGAGAGAGTGCTCCGGTAGAATCGTACGATATGTGAGATGTTGATGCCCGTATCCCAGTGAGTGGATTATTTCCAAGGGAAAGGAAAAGAAAATCGCTTTTGCATTCCGAATTGAATGAAATATCGATAAAATATTTGCCTTTGAAATGATTATGGTGCAGAATTTATAGGACTAATTAGTCAGGGCGAGGCGCGTTTTCCCAGGATCCAAGCGTTAGCGAGATTTTAAACTGGGCGAGTAGCGAATGAAGAGACATACTAGAGACGGCAAAGGGCTGCGATCATGCTGCTACGCTGGGACTCCATGCGAGAGCCCAGGCTGAGGCTCGTGAGAACTGAACAGGCATGCAATCCTTCTCCCCCCCCCCCCCCCTCTTCCTCTTCTCCATCGCATCCGAATGACGTCACACCACACGCGCTCGATCCTCTCCACTTCTTTGCCTCTGAGCCAACCAGTTCCCTCGTTGCCTACTGCACCGCACTGTGACAGTCTGCGCTCAGTGGTCCATACTCAAGTTCGGCCTCGCTGTATCCCCGTGAAGTGATTAGAAATTATCTCTCCTTTTCTCGGGATCGCAATCAGAAACTCTCCAGGCGTTGCAGCGATGCCACTTCATTCAGCCACTCTTCCCCATCACAGATGCTCTTCTTATTACTGCACTTCATTCTTTCTTCATTCTTATTTATGCTGATAGCTTAAGTATTCTCCATCTCAGCCTTGACATCTTCTAGATGTTGTTCAAACATCTCTCATTGCTCTGATGTATTGCATTCTCATCTTTTAAGAGTAGTTGCCAAAAGACCAGAGAAGGCAGTGAAATACTTGTCTTCATAGGTATTTTCTGTACAGTCTCCATCTGATCAATATTTTAATATGAACCTAGCATTTGTTAGATTGTTTGGCTGCTTCCATCTCATTGAATCTAATTATCCAAATCATACAAAGATTCATGCCACCATCTGTTTTAGTTCGATATTAATTTTTTCTGCCCATCCTCTCTCAGTATAATGGAAAATAATTTTTTTCATTTTTCCATCTGTTTTAGGCAAGCATGGGAAGAAGTAGTGGGAGGACTTGCATTATTCCCAATTGCTGTGCAACTTATAGGAACAGTCGGTCAGAACATTTGTCATTTCACAGCTTCCCTAATGTCCAGAAGAGAAGAAATGCCTGGCTTAAGGCTCTTGGTTGGGCATCTGTATCTACAGTGACTGCCTATGTATGTTCTCGCCACTTCACAGAAGATGCTTATGAGACAGGCTTCCACGAGAGAAGGTGGCTGAAGGAAGATGCAGTTCCAACAGAATTTCTTGAAGAAGAGGTCCTGTTCTAGTAAATGAACTCAGACTTAGACCCTTTCACTGAGATGGAAATTTAAATCTCCTACCTTAGACTGGTGGGGAATTTTCAGGACTTTAAGAACAGCACATGGTACAGTCATTCTCAATTTGTCTGCTGTCTTCATCACTCAAATCAAGTATCATTGCATTGTTGTCACTCTATCAAGTGCTAACTTGCACAAAATATCAATACACACTGGTCTTCAGCTTACAGGGTGGGCCAAAGAAATGTCCACCTTTTTCATTCTGCTTTACCATTTTTGCTAATTGAGTCAAGTGTACCATTGTTTAGAATGGCTAAGCTACAATCAAGTGCAATTTTTATTTTGAAAGTCAGTCAAGAAGTATTTGCAGTGATGATTTTACAGCAAGAGGTGGAAAACTGTCGCTACTCAACAAACCTGCCAGTACCATTATGAACTGACTGAAGGGATCTGTCTGGTCAGCAGATGGTGTGGAGGAGTGAGGCTCTTGTGGCCTAGATCTGCGTAGACCTTATCATTTTGACTGTTGTTTGGAGTTCTTCCTTTTTCATCTACCTGTCATTTTGCCAAGGAATGTTTTTGTTTGCAAAGCTGGCCTCCATGTACACACATACGAGGGGAGGTCCAAAAGTTCCTGTTCTGACTATGATAGAAACATCAGAGAGATAAGTTCTTGTCATCTCTTTGTAGGCCTACTCTTAGTATATAAGAAGCCACAACTTCAGATTTTTCCTGTTAGTTGTTGTTTATCTCTAGTCTGCTAAACATGGTTATTCTTGCTATGGACAAATTAGAGTTCAGGGCAGTGATAAAGTTTTTGACCAAAGAGAGTCGGACACCTTCTGAGATTCATCAACGGTTGGTTGGCGTGTACGGGGAGAATGCCCCCTCTCAGACCACAGTGAATAATTGGTCAAAACTTTTTAAATGGGGCAGAGAATCTTTAGAAGATGATCCTCGAAGTCGAAGACCGATCGAAGCGACTTCGCCGGACATTGTTGAACAGGTGGAACAGCTGGTGTTGAATGATGGCCGCCTGAAGAAAAAGGAGATCTCTCTCATGGTCGGGGCATCGCCCACAACAGTCCTCAGAATTTTGCATGACCATCTGGGCATGTCGAAAGTGAGTGCAAGGTGGGTGCCGAAAATGGTCTCCTGGTCAGCCTCACACATTCTCAAAAAATCGCGGCAACAGTTCACTCGAGCTCTTTTTTTCTCAAAATTTTGCATGACCATCTGGGCATGTCGAAAGTGAGTGCAAGGTGGGTGCCGAAAATGGTCTCCTGGTCAGCCTCACACATTCTCAAAAAATCGCAGCAACAGTTCACTCGAGCTCTTTTTTGAATTGCGGAAAGGTTTCGAGGCACCCACCTTGCACTCACTTTCGACATGCCAACCGTTGATGAATCTCGGAAGGTGTCCGACTCTCTTTGGTCAAAAACTTTATCACTGCCCTGTACTCTAATTTGTCCATAGCAAGAATAACCGTGTTTAGCAGACTAGAGATAAACAACAAAAGGAAAAATCTGAAGTTGTGGCTTCTTATATACTAAGAGTAGGCCTACAAAGAGATGACAAGAACTTATCTCTCTGATGTTTCTATCATAGTCAGAACAGGAACTTTTGGACCTCCCCTCGTAAGTCCAACCAAGTTTGGCTGTTGACATAATTTCATGTCATGGCTTTTCTGTGACACCCTCACGATGTGCATACTCCTAAAAACTGATTCACTGCTTCAAATAGATCAAATGCTGCTGCAATACATGATTCATAAGGCAAATGCCATTAAAGGTTATGTAAATGAAAAGGTCCACAAACCTACTATCTTTCCAAAAACTGGGATTCTCATAGATGTGATGAAAGGAACAGCATCAAAACATTGGGTTCACTTCAAACTGGTTAGATGACAGCTAAAAACCTCTTCTTCAGGGAAAAATGACCTTTGAAACAGAAAAACAAGTTCAGAAAAAAAATTTGGTAGATTATTTCTGAACTTGGAAGATCCCTATCCCATGGAGGAGGCATTGTGTCCATAAATGATAAGTGCCCTTTAAAAAATTAATTTGGAGTGAACCCAGTATTTCTATGCCAAAAAGGTACTAATGAGACAAACCATGAGAAATTTCTATAGAGGGAATATGATCCTGGATGACATCAAGAGGTTGGAGAAGGAGCTTGATATTCTCCAGATGTAGTTGAACTGCTTGATGCAAAGCAGTGTTAGAACCTGAAGCTTTGGCATGAGCATCTTGGTAGCACTTAAACTCTCGTTTCAATTCCACAATCAGCCTTGATGGCGAACGCTTCCCCATCACTTTCTCAAAGTCTGCTTCTTTCTCATCTTCCTCCTAATTGACATCCACAATATAGATAAATCAAGTTAATGATGTGATGACCATACTCTTTGAGTGGTGCAAAATGAAAATGATAGGATGACAAACCTGAAGGATTTCATCAATATCTTTCAATCCACTCTGGACATCATGAAACAAGCTGCTCAGTTTCTCCATAGTCTCCTTCATCTCCTGAATGGCCTGTGGGCGAGCTGAAAGAGAGGCAATCCGATCCACCAAGCTCCCAGGGAGATGATCCATGTTTTCAAGGAGTTCCAAATGTTCAGGATGCAATGATGTGAGAAAAGACATCAACTCCTGGTCTTTCCCTGAAATTTTATTTCCTAGGTCTCTCAAGATTTTGGCCTTCTCCTCACTACATAGCAGCAAGGAACAATGGAAAACACAGCATTCAGTGGGAGAGATGAATATACTTCACTAAGTACATGCAAATAATAGTTTCACTGCCTGATTCACAACATACCTGTATAAGGATGATGCTTCATGTGCTTCAAGAGGTACAAGGGATGCAAAGATGTCTGGACCAGATATGTCTGGGTCTGATATGGAGAAGCCAACACCTTTGACAAGAGATGCTCCCTTCACACGAGGCAAGGAACACAGATCAGGCACTTTTTCATGATAGATGAATTCATTCTCTTTCTGGGCAGCAGCTAACTTCCCACCGACCACATCCAATGTGAATGTCACCGTCTCATTGAAAGCCTACAAAAATTGGAGTAAAACATAAACTCTAAGTCTTCCAAGCACAGGATGTTTGAGAAGTGACCTTATTTCATATGTGAATCTACCATGTCCACGAAGCATATATATTTCTCAACTCTCGCCTCATGAATCTCATTAGTGTTGATAAGTGATCTGATAATAAAGAACAAAAGCAGACTAGTTTTTCAACCAGTTCTGGCAAGTTCCTCCCCTGCCCAGCATGAGTACACCCAGATGGTCTTTAGCTCAAGTCAGCTATCTCCTTAGACTCAAATGGCTTTGCCAAACTTGAAGACTCCTCTCCTTCACACATTTTTTTTTCACCAAGTCTGCATACTTGCACTCCTATTGAAGGCAAGAGGATAGCCATGTTATTCTGCATATCCAGTTTCTAAGTGGTTCCATGAATTCAAATGGGACTGAGCCTCCATTGAAGATGATCACCAACCAGGTTGACCTCCAACTGCAGTCACACAATAAAACATTGAGTTGGTCCAGCAAATTTTTGCTGAAGACCACTGACTTACTCATGCACAGATAAAATATCATTTGAGCATTGGTTCCTCTGCTGTTTCTGACATTCTGCATGAGCATTAGGAGCTTTGCAAGGTTGTTTCCCATTGGGTACCCAAAAAATCTTTGGACTTCCTGGCCAGTCAACATGTTCAAACATGGCCACATTCTCCTTATTCACCCAATTTGGCCCCTGGTGACTTTTTCTTGTTTCCCAAGTATTAATACAAAGAAAAACTCAGTGGTCACCGATTTGAGAGCTCTGAAGATGCAGTGGTTGCTTATTGGGACATTTTGGTTGACCTTGTCAAAGATGATTGGAGCAGCTGCTTTGATTCTTGGTTGTGACAAATACAAATGTGCCTAAATACAAAGGGTGCTTAATTTTGAGAAGCAGGGAAAATTTCAAGCAAAAGTCTTCTTTAGCAAGGAAGTAGCTATGAACTTTCAGAGCAACCTTCATATCATTCGCACCTTTGAACAAGTTCTGAAAGCATTAAAAAAAAAAAACCTCCTTGCTAGCAACTCTCAATTTCAGAGCATTTGCCAAGTGGAAAATCTGCAGCATGGTTACCAAGTAATCACGCATAGTAAACTTCACAAATGAACCAAAAGTCTGTCATACTCCTTGGCCAAGAAGATCATAACAGACATGGAGTTAGTGTGTGTAACCCACTGGGATACTAAGACTGTGATTCAACAGGCTGATACTTAAATTGACATCATAATTTCATTGACAATGAACATTATAAGTCACCAACATAAGTAAAAATCAGAAATATCTAAGTGTGCAATAAAAGTGTAAAAGTAAAACTTGGGATTAGACTGTAATATTGGACCTGTATCTGAGTGTAACTAATTAAGAGGTGTTTCTATGCAGAAAAATGTCATCTTATAGGGTATTCCAATGGGTTAATATGTGATGAAGTTGAATATTTTGTAAATGTTCTATTGATTACTTTTTCTGCCCTCCCAAACAGCAGAGTATCTTGCAACATCATTCCTAATATACTAATTGGCCACATTGACTCATTACACAAGAATCCAAAATGTCAACATTGATTATATGTTGCAAAAGTCCATTAACTCTTCTATTATTTTGTGAAGCAAAATCTTCCTGCTCAAGATTAGAGCTCTTTGGGAATTCTAATATATGAGTCAGGTTCTTTCTTATACAGGAATCAGCAAGTCCAATGAGATTCCTAGTACAGTCGTTCCTCGCCACTTCGTGCTTCGACTTTCGTGGCTTCACCCTATCGCGGTTTTTTCAAATATATTCATTAAAAAGTTGATCGAGACAGTGAAAATGATACAGCGCGCGCTCGGTTGTCTGAGTCAATTATACACCCCTGTATTACAATTAAAATAAAAATTACTGTACAGTATTTGAAAAAACCGCGATAGAGTGAAGCCGCAAAAGTCGAAGCGCGAAGTGGCGAGGGAC